CTCTGATTTCATCTCAGCATCGTGCTTGACATTTACCTGTATTTACACGCGTAGCCCCAGTTCATTCACTCTTGGGAAAACAAAGGAAAATGACCAAACAGAACTCACACCAGGTGCTGTGACAGCATTTATTGAAGGCAGGAATAGCTGCGGATGTGCCAGTCCTGCGTGGCCATTCATTCTAGGACGTTGCACTCTGGGAGAGGGATCCTGGCATTGGGCTATGGGGCTTTTAAGCTGCATGATTAGGAAGCACAGCTCCTCCTCCCACTGTGATCAGGATGCTAGGGTCTAAGTTTTAGTTTTGCTGCTGCAATTATTTGATGTGGTCAGCCAGCAGCTAGATTTAACTGCATTGTGTTCATGGCTGTAGAAGCATCAGCCCTTCCTCTGACATGATTAAAGGGCTGGTGTCCAAACCTTGTAATTGATCAGTGTCTTAGGCACTTAGCAATGGCTGGATTCCATGGAACCTTGTAGGGGGCCAACTCCTTTCCTGGGAGGCCAGCCTGCAAGGGATAAACAGGTTAACTCTTATCTCTCATTCATCGTAGAATTTGATTGTAGGAATATACCACAATGTGTTTATAGGTTCTAGTGTTCATGATGGACATGTGTGGGTTCTTTCTAGTTTTCTTTTGCTATTAGTGTGTTCCCGTGGACATTCTGGTGCAAGGGTTTTTCTTGGATATTTAGGAGAGGACGTATATTAGGGAATGGCACTTTTCCAACGTAGGTATACTAGTTTATATTCTGATTAACATTGGTGGAACGCTCCTGTCTTCATACCCTCACCAATGCTTAGCATTTTCTGGCTCTTTAATTTTTGCCAGCCTGCTGGGTATATAATAGTACCTTGAAGTTTAATTTTCACATTCATGATTACTGTTGAGGTTGAGCATCTTTTTGGCCACTTGCAGACCATTTGAGTTTTTCCTCTTGTGAAATGCCTGTTAGTGCCCTTTGCCTGTTTTTCTATTCGTGTTATCTTTTTCTTGTTGATTTGCAGCAGTTTTAAACATAGATGTTTCCTGGATGGTAATCCTTTGTCAAGAATGTATTGCAGTTATCTTCTCACTTTGTGCCCTGACTCTTCACTATTTTTATTGTATCTTGTGATTTCTTATCTCGAGGTGCTCATCTTATTTGTACCTTTATCTGTCAGAATTCTCTGAGGCTTTGGTGAAATCACATTCTTTCAGACAGGACCTGCATTTGTTTCTTCCTGAAGCCTGGGAATCACTTTAATTATCACCCCACCTGGGATCACTTTAAATTAAATTCAGCCCTTGAGGTTTTTTCCCAGATTGAACCCGAGGGGTTCACCTTTCTCCTCTCCCCTCCGGTCTGAGGATTTTACGGCACACACTAGAGAAGAGGGAATTACACTTCATTCTCAGGGTGATTTGTTTTTTTCCAGTACATCCAGCCCAAGATAAAAACAGGCAGGATTCCTTGCTGCCGGCTCTGTGCCAGGGGCTCATTTCTCCTTCACTCTTACACTGAGGACTGGGCCCTCTGGAGCTCGAGTTTAAAGGAGGCCTGCATCTGGACTTGTCACCTTTGCGGGCTCTGGGCTTAATCTCGTCAAAGCAGAAGGTCAAGCTCTCCAGGGTTCTGTAGAACTTCCCAGAATAGAAGCTGAGTTTAACTTCCCAGAGTTTTTGCTTTTTATTTTTATTTTTGGCCTATTTGCATGCCTCCCCCTGACTCCCCTGCTGCCCATGTTAGTTCAACAGTAATCTAAGCATATTTTTAAATATTTATAATCTGGCAGTTTAGTTGTTTACTTCAGGTTAATTAGAACATCTAGTGTTCCTTTATCCTAGCTGGAAAAGAAGTGGTAGTTTTCCATGAAATGCTCTCACATAAGTGTCCAGACAAGGAGTTGAATTCTACTTAAGCTGAACAGGCAGTGAAGTATGCTGTCCCCTTTATTAAAAACCAAACACCATGAAGTGAATTTTCTCAATGTACAATGTAAGTATATGGGAGCTGGTGGGGACCTGGAGAATGGAAAGGCAGGGGATTCCCTTAGCTCTTTTTTTTTTTTTTTTTGGGGGGGGGACAGAGTTTCGCTCTTGTTACCCAGGCTGGAGTGCAATGGTGCGATCTTGGCTCACCGCAACCTCCGCCTCCTGGGTTCAGGCAATTCTCCTGCCTCAGCCTCCTGAGTAGCTGGGATTACAGGCACACGTCACCATGCCCAGCTAATTTTTTGTATTTTTAGTAGAGATGGGGTTTCACCGTGTTGACAAGGATGGTCTCGATCTCTTGACCTCGTGACCCACCCGCCTCGGCCTTCCAAAGTGCTGGGATTACAGGCTTGAGCCACTGTGCCCGGCCCCCTTAGCTCTTATATAGAGCCACAGCTTCTGCCCGTCACCTCCCCAGAAGGGCAGGAAGAGAGAAAACCTGATGGCCACGAGCAGCTCTGCTTCCTGCCACAGGTCAGCAAAAGTGGCTGTGGTCCCCATCAGGTCTGATGAATTGTTCTCAAGTCCCAGCAGGGGCCTGCTCACATCAGGAGGTGGAAAAAGGGAGGAAAAAAGCTTTACATTGGGCAAAATATAGACTAGATAGTCACCTAGGAAAGCCAGAGCTTAGATTGCTTTCCCCTCGCAATCTAAGAGAGAAACCTAGTGCTGCAATGAACTTCATTGTTCATTTAGTTTGTTCATTTGTTTCAGTAAACAGACTCCTTTGACATAGAATTGTTGACAGCACAGATGCACAGTTTATCAGTTGCCAAAATCATGCACCTATATACACTAGGAAGGAGGAGAGCAACAATTGTCTTGTTCCTGGAGTATCACAGTAAAGCACATGGACACTTGGATGATTATATAGCATAGGGGAAAGTCTTTGCCATACTCAAAGTTACAAATGAGGGAAAAATTCATTGTTACATAATCCTTTCAAAGATGAAAGAACCCCGCAGAGAAAAGCCAATGGCCAATTAGATGGCAAATTTGTAAAAAGACGCTGACCCCTTGCTATGTGAAAGCTTTTTACAGATGAGAGAGTGGAGAATAGATAAAACACATGAAGGGTAACTCATGCAATACAAGTGGCTAGAAAGATGCTTGGCTTCTAATCAAAGAGAGCCCCTTCAAAACAGTCATGCCGTTTGCCTTACGCTGCTCAGATAGGTAAAGATTTAGCGTGTTACTGGCCTGTGGTGGCAAGGCTGCACTGTGGGGCTGCGTGGGGAGACATTTGGACAGTCCTAGAGCCCCACAATCACAAGAGGTGTGGTCTTGACCCAGCAGTGCTAAGACTGTCTTTTGAGAAAATATACAAAGAACTACGTACTTGTGTTCAACGCTTGTCGTCCTTAACCCACATGGTCTCCATCAACAGATCAAATGTCATAGTTCAACCACAGTTTAGAGAAGACATCTATTTGAAATGATAGGAACTGACACAAGACACCTACCCTTTTGTAAAAGAGAAAATTAAGTTACACAGTGTTATTTCAATTGGTACCTCTGGAAATTTGAAATCCTTACATGAGTTTGTATGGTGGAGGGAGGGGAAGGAAGAAGAAGTGATGCTGGAAGGAACCAGAACCCAGGCCACTAAGAGCAAGTCAGCCTGGCTCCTCCAACCAGCCAAGCTAAGAATCCTTACATATGTCACGCTGACGCTGCAGAATATATCCTATGTCCCCCTGTACAAGCCAGAAAGCTGGGCAGGGCAAGACTGGCCGTGGCTGGCCGTAGATAGGAAGACAGGCCCAGAGAGGGGAAGCCACTTAGTTCCATGGCAGGTGTTCGGGCTTTACCCTCTCATGTTCTCCCTCTAGCTAGAAAAGCCAAAGATAGCAGTTCCCTCGAGCCCCTCTTCGCATTGGCACATAAACTTGTGCATACAAAACCAAACCAAACATTGACAACAAAAGCGAGGTAAGCCTTGGGCCTGGGCAAGAGGAAATGAAGTTCTAGTTAGTAGTTAACAGCACCCAGTTACTGTCAGCTGTTATGTACTATTCTAAGCATTCTTATCTGTTAACTCATTTTATCCAATGCGTCTATGGGAATAGACTTTCACCTCATTTTACAGACGAGAAATCTGAGGCCCGGGGAAGTTCAGTAACTCACTGAATATCACACAGCTACTAAGAAGCCAGCTCTGGAGTCCACATGCTTGGCCAGTATTCTGAAGACAGGAAAGGCTGAGTAGCCCAGAGCCAGGTGAGTAGGGGCGTGCACGCCGTATCGAGGCCACGGGCCTGACTGGAGCACCTTTGCTCCCCTTCTAACAGCTCTCTAAGCTCATGCCCTGAGGCCCAGAAAGGTGTCTGAAAGCAAGCTCAGCCCTCCCTACCAGATAGTTCTCCCTGTCCCCTGGAGGCTGAACCCTAGCGCCTTGCCCATCCCTCCACCAGAGGATCCACATGTCTATCTGGAAGGGGCTTTGCTGCCAAGTCAGAGATGAAGGCCCATGCCACATATGGGAAAACTGGGCTCAGCGGCATAGCCAGCGCCGGCACGGACTTGTCTGGTGGCCATGCCCACAGTGGCAGGCAGGTCAGGACCAGCAGTCTCCCATTCCTTGGGGGCCAACCCTTCCTGCATGGACTAGTCTTGGGAGGCCAGGGGAGGGAATAGGAGGCTGGTGATAAGTGCAGCCTTTCGCTGTCGGCTGGCAGCTCAGGGGGTCTGCAAAGTGCCCCTTCAACTCAGCCTTAGAGCTCAGCTTGTCCGCCCTGCACAACTGCTCAGGGTGCTTTGAGGGTGCCCTCGTCAGAACTCCTGTGTCTGTGGGGAGGTGACAAGACTTCACAAGCCATTCATTCCTGCCAGGGGCCCAGTTCCCAGCTGTTGCTGTTCTGACTGCCAAGGTCTTACCCTCCAGTATCTTTGTCCCATTTGCTCTGCCTGAAATGCCACCCTTCCTTGCAGAGAGGCTGAGTCTCCTGAGTTGAGCCTTGGGGGACGTTGGCCTCTGTGCAGGGTGTGGCATATATGAAGTATTTGTAATTGACATCACAGTTCTGGAAGGACCGAGTGGACTTGGAGGAAGTTTCTCACATGAGAAGTAGTTCTGTTCTAGTTGTCACGAATAACTTCTCCACAACTGCTTTCAGTAGGTTTGAAAGGATTGTTTATTGAGCCCGTTCACTGCTGCTTTCCCAGAGCTTCTGGCTCAGGCCCACAAAGACACCAAACCCAAGGACCAGGGAAACCACTGGCAGCGAAAGGACCACCCAAAGGAGAGGCCTCAGGCTGGAGTTCCCATTGGAATGTCAGAGAGAAGGGAAAGGTAGGGCTGGGTGAGGCCCCTCCAACACTCTCCTCCACCCCAGACCTTTGTATCACACTGGGCAGAGCTGAAGCTGCCTTTCTGCAGATAAGGTGGACTGTGTCTTCACTTAGTTCCCCACTGATTGCAGTTACACCATCTCTTGCCCTCAGCTATGGCTGGAGCATCCCATTTTGTCAGCATAGTCTTGGGGGTGTGGGAGCTGGTAAGGCCTGAGGGGCCCACCCAGAAGCCCTCATACCTGTGGGCCCTACCCAGAAGCCCTCATACCTGTGGGCTCCTGCCCATAGAATCCTCAAAGCCCACTGCCCCCGGAGAGCTCACCATGTCCTGGGGCCTGGCAGTGTCATTACGGTGACCTGAGGATCGTCGCTGTCCTGCCCAGGGGAAGAATGAAGTCTTGGGCAGGTCTCCGGCCCCTGTGACCTCAAAGCCTAACATAGGCCTGAAGATGAATGAAAGAACAAATCCACTCACACCCCAGACTCACTTGCTGTCCCAGGGCGGCACGCGGTGGAGCAAGTCTTCAGCCCTGAGGTGTGGCAGGCAGAGGTGCTGCACAAGAAGTACACATGGTGGAAGGAGAAGAACATCAGAGCGGCTGGCTCCGCGCCACTGGGCAGGAAGCACAGAGGCAGGGACATGGGATTCCCTAGCTGGGCCCCTGGCTGCTGGCCAGGCAGGGGGAAATCTGAGCACGCAGACCAAGACCATGACTGCCGCTCATGCTGAGGGAGTGCGGAGCTGAATGTGTTCCTTCCCAATTCGAAATCCACACCTTCCTTCCTCTCCAAGGTCCAAGTCTGCAGTGGTGTGCCCTGCAGGTGGGGCCACCACACTTTGAGAACCCCAGCCCTTGGCGGGCTTGCTCCACCAATGCTGCCTCTGGCTGCGCAGCCCCTGGGCGGGCTAGATTGCTCCCTTCCACCTGCCCTACTGAGGGAGACAGCAAGTTCCAAGAGGGTGGGGCTTGACCAGGCAGCAGGAGAATAGATGTTTGCCCTCCCTTTGTGACCCCTGGAGACCAGTGACTGGGGGCAGAGGGCAGGGTGGATTACCACTGCTTCCAGATACACCAGGGCAGGGGCAGTGCCCTATGGGAGCAGAAGCAGGAGGAGCTGACCCGACCCAGCACCCAGGAGGCCTCACCCATGGGTGCCCCTCATCCAGGCAGGTCAGCATCTCTTGGATCAGGAGGCAGCACTCAGCAGAGATGAGAACGAAGCCACCCTAACTAATCAGTGCTTAGGAGTGAAATCAGTCTGCATATGACGTAATAACAGACAGTGATTTAAGCATCCAGAGATTTGTGTATGCAATGTGAAAGATACATTGTTCAACAGGACAGGAGTTACAGGGCGTCTGTTGCCTCTGGGGCCATCTGTGTATTACATAGAAAACCTAAATATACCTTAAGTTTATCTACTTCTACCTTCTGGAGAAGTTGCTGAGTTAAAGAAAATTCAAAGCAGAATTACGTGTAAGACATTATCATTTCCGGAATCAGAAGTGAGGTGAGGCTACCCTAGAACGCCACGACCAGAGTTCAGATTTTGGGCTGATTGCAGCGCAGGCAGCATTTTCCTTCCTCCTGGTGGCACTTACGGGTTACCTGTTGCTGATGCAAAGCCAGCTGCTTTCCATGACACCTGGTAGAAGTCAAGCCCCATCCCCAGAACTTTGTCCACATAAGCTCACAAGGTGCCAGAGGGGTTTGGTGACCAGCTCCTCCCCACCTAACATGGGGCCAGCATGCGGCAGCCGGGTCTTCTTACCAGTGCTCAGAGGGCTCTCTGGGAGCCTGAGTCCAGCAGCGCAAAGGTGGCAACAGTGAATCACTGGTAGTGAGACTGGAAAGGTGTGGTCCTGTCCAAGGCTACCATTTGGGTTCTGTAGCTGTCACCCTCGAAAGGGCATCTGAGAAGAAGAGAAGTCAGAGGGGCTGTTTATAGGAGGCAGAGCAGGTGAGGGGAGCCTGGGGGTACTAACCCGTCTGACAGGATGGGCCACTGGGGCTGCTGGAAGGGGTCGGCACTGGGAGCACCCCAGCACTGGTGCAGCAGCGGGACCAGCTTGGGGTCTGTCCTCTGCAGAAGCCGGACCTCCACATGGACTGGTTCTCGGAGCAGCCTCACAATGGGACAGTCATCCTCCCCGCAGTAGGAGCTGAAGGTCTCATCTGCAGGGAGAGCAACTCATGAGCCAGGGTGGGCTGTGTGTCAGAGAAGCAGGGCCTGAAGAGTGCAGGGATAGCATAGCATTCCCTTGGCAATCCACAGTTCAAGCTGCAGGGGTCCAGGCTGGGTCACAGGGGCAGGCAACGGGGGTGGGCAGATGGATGCCTGAACGGGCAGGAAGTCACTGGAGTTGAAGACAGCGCACATGAAGCCTGAAGTGCACTAGGGTGGGGGAGAAGACACAGAATCAGAGCATCCTGTTCATGTTAGAAACTAGGTATCAACTCTGGATGCAACAGATGGTACTGTCCAGCAAGGCAGACGGATGCTACGTAAGCAGCACTCAGCGTTTCCCAGGCAGGCTCAGGAAGCTCACCCTGCCCCATCCTGTCTCCCTGGGATGGTTCAAGCCTGTTATGCCAGGCCCTGCGCCTGGTGGGAGAATACGGCAGGATGGAGATGGGTCCCTGGGGGGCTGGCACCTTGTCGGGTCTGCCCTGGCTACCCACAGCTGTCTGCCATGCCATTCGAGACTCCTGGAGCCTGACAGTTGAGGCTGCAGGTGGGCCTTGGCACTCTACCTCCCGACAGACCTGAGTTTGAGTCTTAGCATTTACAGGCTTTGGGACCACAAGCAAGTCTTTTTAACCTAAAACTCAGTGTCCTTATTTGTAAAATGGCCATGACTGCCTCCCTCGGAGGGCTCTGAGACAATGAGATCGAAGATAACATCATCTTCATTGTCCTTGTAGTTGCAGCTGGTCTGCCACAGCCTAAGGGCCACAGTGTCTAGCATCTTCCTCACTAGCTAAGGGCCTGGTGGCCGCTCTTCCACACTCTGCTGGGGCCCACACCCTCCCAGTACCCCAGAGGCCTGGCACCAAGGAGATGCTAAGTAGGTATAAGTGGCTTGCCCGTGTTCCAGAGGCCTTGTTGCAGAGGAGCCCTCTGGCCTAGTCCTGCCGGCTACAGCTGTTTTCCCCTGACCTCTGCCTCCCTCCAGGAATCCCTAGTCGCTGTGTTGACCTCTGGCTGACTCCTACAGCTCTTACACCAGAGAGTCTAGGGCATGACCCAGACTTGTCACCCACCGCTTGGCCATAAGAACTTAGGAATTTTTTTTGAATTAAACATTAAAAAAAAAAAAAAATAGAGATAGGATCTCACTGTGTTGCCCAGTCTGGTCTTGAACTTCTGGCAATTTTCCCACCTAGGCCTCCCAAAGCACTGGGATCACAGGCATGAGCTACCACCTCCATGGTACTTAGAGCTTTAAAGCCAAATACATTTGAACTGTGATGCAGCCCCTGCTCCCCAACCCTCACGGCAGGGAGGGAAGGGCGAAGGAGATGCCTGGGCATCCACGCAGCGTCAGGCACAGCGTTTCCCCAAGTCATGGCTAATGCACTGGTGGTGTCCCACAGGGTGAACTGGCTGACGTTAGGTGCTTTGCACCTGCCCTCACAGGTGCAGAGCCAGGTGTGACAGACAGATTCCCTCGGGTCACCCCCACTGGCATCCTGGGCACCTGGCTTGGTTTTTGCCTCTTGACTCAGCAGGTCCAGGAGGCCCCTAACAATAAGGGGTTCCTCCCCCGCCCAGTTCTCTCCCACCACATCCTCAGACAGCTTCAGCCCGATGTATCTTCAGCTTCATCTGTGGCTTCTTAACCTGACATTAGGAGGGGCAACAGCCATAACCTCAGCCTCTTCCTGGGACCTGGAAGGGGACGCTTTCAGTTGCTCTGAGCTTAGTTCTTAGACAGACCAAGACAGGGCTGTCTCAGAACTCCAGTGCTCTCAGGACTGGCCATGGGCTTTTAGCTGAGCCCTGCAGACCAGGCGTGGAAGGTCCCCACTTAACATGTCTGCCCTGAGAAAGGGACATTTCCCCTGCCATGCAGGGGAGGCTGGAAAGAGGTGGGCCCGTTGCCTAAGGTCACATAACCAGGTAACAGCAGAACCCGGGTTGGACCCAGCTGGCTCCAAAAACTGTTCTGAGCTCTCCTGTGCCCCGACACCCCAGCCCCCAGCCACGCCTGTTGGAGGAGGGCTGCCCTCACTGGAAGGTGTTGTCCCACGTGATGGAACCCTGTGGCCCCTTCCAGATGTGAATGCTGGCCACCAGCCGGTTCTCATAGACGAGCTGGTTGCCAGCCACCTGTGGGAAGAGACAGCTGGGTGAGGACTTCTTGGGGGACCAGGCCCCAGCCTGTGGTCCCGAGCCCTACCTGCACTGTGGTTCCACAGTGGGTGAGAGGGAACTGGAAGACCATGAAAACATCTGTGTCCTGTGTTGGGGAGCAGCTGGTGGGGACGTTGGCCAGTGTGATCCTGTGTGTCAAGGCTATTTCTTGTGACACCATGAGAATGAAATAGCCATCTCTGAAGCACTGGACAGTAGCTGGGACAAAGGCAGATGAGGGCCTTGGGATTTGGTGTTCACCCAGCATGGAGACAGGGGATGGCTGGGTGAGAGCCAGGCTTTAAGTGCTGGCCTGGGAGTCTAGACGCTTACTCTCCACTTAGGCTGGTGCTGGCCCCAGCAAACCCTTTACAGACTGACTGTCTCATCCATGAGACAAGTGGGTTGAACTATAAAAGTAGCTTCACCATAGAATCTGTCATCCAAACCAGGGTGTTTTAGAGCTGAAAGTACAGATGTGTGTAAAGGTAGATCTATTAATAGTTCCCTGGGACAGCTGTTATAAGGCCAGCTGGGACATATGATTGCCCCATCTAAAGGTCTCCTCTGCCATCTGCTTTGGGAGTTGGACTCTCCAGGAGGAGGATGGGAAGCAGCCTCCACCAGCTGGAGGAGATGGCTGTCCTTCCGCTTCAGAATCCAGGGGACCAGGATGGTGCTGGTGTGGGAGGTTGTACCTGTGTTGCCATAGTAACAGGGAACCTCTGTGGTGTTGTCAGAGCAGCCAGCCTGCTGACAGGCTTCCTTTGAAGTTCCTCTCATGAGGCAGGGGAGGTGCCCCGAGGCCACCTGGCACTGCTCCTGACTCAGGTGAGTACCTAGGGTTGGGACAGAGCAATGAGGCTGAAGGCACACAGTTTGCAAATCGTGGCCCTGGAATTGAATCTTGGGAACCTGCTCCAGAGTTTGTGCCTTTTTTTTTTCTTTTTTTTTTTTTTGGAGTTTCACTGTTGTCGCCCGGGCTGGAGTGCAGTGGCACAATGTTGGCTCACTGTAACCTCTACCTCCTGGGTTCAAGCCATTCTCCTGCCTCAGCCTCCTGAGTAGCTGGGATTACAGGCGTCTGCCACCACGCCTGGCTAATCTTTTGTATTTTTAGTGGAGACGGGGTTTCGCCATGTTGGCCAGGCTGGTCTCAAACTCCTGAACTTGGGTCCACCTGCCCTGGCCTCCCAAAGTGCTGGGATTATAGGCATGAGTCACTGCACCTGGCCCAGAGTTTGTGCTCTTAACCAGCATACTACGTGTTCTCCCTGAAAAGTGCATATTACTGAAATATCGAGAGAACGTTTTCTGAGAACCGGGTGTTCCTGGCAATGGTTTTAATGAGTTTCTGCCTAAAATTAGGCAGCAATACATTGGCAAGACCTCTTCTAGCTTTAGTATACTTGTACACGTTTAAAGCTGTTTTTCCAAATACTACAAAGGAATAGGAGAATCATGGTTTTCTAAAAAAAGAAAAAAGAAAGAAATGGCTTCTTAGAGCCCAGTAAAAGGCTGTTAGGCCACGCTGGACTTCAGAAGGCCCCAGACAGAGGGTGCAAACATTCAGATGTCCTGCACACCTACGTAGTAATCTGGTTTGTTCACATCCCAGTGTCCCATGGGGCCCCAGTGGGGTTGAGCCAAGGTTTCGAGGGCAGGTCCAGGTCCAGGGAATGGTAAAGCAGGGGCTGGGTGGGCGGAGCTGTGCCCTGGGTCCAGTGGGCTGGGAAAGGCGTGCCAGAGCCTGGGGAGATGTGGCCAGAGGTGGGGCAGAAGGGAAGGGTTTGTGGGGTCAAGACAGGGAACATGGTGGGTGGTGCCAGCTGGGCGTCCGGTGTCTGGGGTGGGCAGGTTTGGGACAGATCAGAGTAGCGTCTTGTGCTACATCCACACAGCTTCCACGAATACCCTCAGGTGGAAACGCCCATCCTGCAGGTGAGAGGCCAGGGAGCAGCAAGGTGAGGCCACCTAGCATCCCAGGCAGAGGATGGCCCCTGAGGCTAAGATGGCCATTAGGCAGAGAGCTGGATTCACGGTGGATCCCAGAAAGTCCCTTCCAGGACTTAGTTTCCCTCACCCACCAACTCAACATATCTCGGGCTCTGGTTCCTTTCTGGCCCATGAGGGGCCTTCTCCAGCTTGACACGATACAAGACAAGCTTGCTTCTGCACGAGAGCATGAAGAACCCTACCTTCTCCAGCACGTGGCAGCCTCTGCAACCAGCCGAGAAGACCACAGGCTCCTGAGGCCTGGAGGTGACCCAGGGGTAGCAGATGGGGCAGCTGTTCACATCAAATCGGTTCCCAAATTCATCTGCAGTGGGGAAGAGGAGGGGCAGGTATGCGGAAGGGTACAGGGAGAGGCTGCTGGGGCCTCGGAAGGAGTTCCCACTCAGCAGGCAGGAGACCTGGTTCTTGCCTTAGCTTTGCTATTAGCTTGTGTGGTTTTGGGCAAGCCCCTCCCCTCTCTGCTCTCAGCTTTCACAGCTGTAGGGAGATGGGGGGTGGGTCCTAGGATCTTTCTAGCTAGGGTTCCCTGCTCATAGCACACAGCAGCAGGCAGCCATGAAGATGAGATGGAGAAGGGATACACAGGGTCTCAGGGTCAGGCACTGGGCTATTTTACATCGCCTTTTTTTTTTTTTTTTTTTNTTTTTTTTTGAGATGGATTCTCACTCTGTTGCCAGGCTGGAGTACAATGGCACAATGTTGGCTCACTGCAACCTCTGCCTCCCAGGTTCAAGTGATTCTCCTGCCCCAGCCTCATGAGTAGCTGGGATTACAGGCGCCTGTCACCATACCTGGCTAATTTTTTGTATTTTTAGTAGAAATGGGGTTTTACCATGTTGGCCAGCACGGTCTTGATCTCTTGACCTCATGATCCACCCGCCTCATCCTCCCCAAGTGCTGGGATTACAGGCGTGAGCCACCGCGCCTCACGTCGCTTCTCTTAAGCTTAGTTATTCACATCTTGTGGTGGAGGCAGCGGAGGGAGGGAGGGTGTGTGAGTTTTCTCAGGTGCACACAATGAGGGGCAGAATGAGGTTTCGAACCATGGGCTTTGTAGAAAGACCTGAGCCCATTTGCCAGGTTAACTGGCTGCTGCAGTCACTTAGAGACATCTCCTAGGTGTTCACCCCCCTTGTTGGCCCAGAACAGCCTGGGCACTCTCCGGGTGTGGGCACACGCCCAAGCCCTTGTTCCGTGAACACGGCCAGGTTCATCTTCCCCATCTTGCAGAAGAGGAAGCAGAGGCTCAGAGAGGTCAGGTCAGTGGTCCAAGATCACACCGTTTAGAAGTTGCACATCCAAACCCCAATTCCAAACCCATACCAGGCCACACCCACTAGGGTCCTGCTGCTGAAAGTGGCTTATGGACCCTCAGCCACGGTATCGACTGAGTGTGGTTAGAAGTGCAGAGCCTAGGCCAGGCTCAGTGGCTCATGCCTGTAATCCCAGCACTTTGGGAGGCCAAGGCAGGTGGATCACATGAGGTCAGGAGTTCGAGACCAGCCCGGCCAATATGGGGAAACCCCGTTTCTACTAAAAATACAAAAAGTAGCAGGGCATGGTGATGCACGCCTGTAATCCCAGCTACTAAAGAGGCTTACGCAGGAGAATTGCTTGAATTGGGTGGCGGAGGTTGCAGTGAAAGAAGTGACTCCATCTCAAAAAAATTTAAAAAATGCAGAGCCTTGGCCCTGTCCCATGCCAACTGAATCATAACCTGAATTTCTACAAGGCAGCCAGGTGATTCCCATGCACACTAAGGTGGGAGAAGCTGCCCTGGGTGACGACTCTCTTCCTTGCCATTTTCTGAGGGGTCGGGGGCTGGCCACCCCCAGGCTGGAGGGAGGCCTCTGTTCTTGCTCCTTTTCCAAGGGAAGGGTCTCAGCTCCCTCCTGGCGATAGCTCGTGGCCAGGGAGGCGGGGGCTGGGATTCTCCCAGCACTCACCCGCCACCTTGAAGCGGAGAGCCTGGCCTGGCCTGGGGAACACCAGGAGCTGCATTCCCTTGATCCTACAGTCGTAGCTGTGCCGGAGGCCTGGGGGGCCAGGGTCGAGCTGCAGCCGTCTACCCAGCCCCAGGGTGGTGACCAGCAGTAGCAGGGCCACACAGTAACCCCAGGTCGCCGCTGAGGCTCCTCCTGCCATGAGACACCACAGACATCCACAACACCCCTACTCCACTGCCACTAGAGCAGGGCCCAGGCCTCATACGGAGGAGGTGGCAAGTGGGTGCCTCTAAGGGCAAAGGGCACCCACCTGGGGGAGCACCCACCTGGCCACCAGGGACTGTGGTGAAACTCCTGCTCCGAAGGCAGAGGGAGGCAGGAATGCACGTGGCCTCTCACCCTGGCTTTCTGTCCCTCAGCTGTGGCTTTGGAAGGGAGGAGAGAGCTTTCTGGGAAACTGAGGCTGCAGTTGGGCTGTGAGGAGGGATCAGGGGTGGGAGGTGGCCCTGCAGGCCTCAGACTCTCCACTGTCTCCCTCCCACCACAGCCTTTCCACATTTCCTTCCCTGCCCCAACAGGGAAGTATTTTGGAGGAATGGGGTCCTAAGCAGAGGTGGGAGGAGGTGGGAAGGACAGGGATGGTGTGACTCTCCAGGACCTCCCTCCTGCCTTGAGGCCTTGGCAGGCACCACTGGGAGCTCCAGGCCTGGTCAGTGCAGTCACGGCTCTTTGGGCAGGGCCTTGGGGGCGTTAGAGCAAGACCACCAGACACAGCCCTCACAGCTGGCAGCAGAATGGCGGCTGCAGGTGAGTAAACAGACCACTAGCACCTCCCAGGGCTCTCCTGAGGATTTAGCCGGTCAGTGCGACGATGACTATTACTAATAAAAAATAACAAGAACAGGCCATGCGTGGTGGCTCACGCCTGTAATCCCAACACTTTGGGAGGCCGAGATGGGTGGATCACGAGGTCAGGAGTTCGAGAACAGCCTGGCCCAGCATGGTGAAACCACATCTTTACTAAAAATACAAAAAATTAGCCCTGCGTGGTGGTGCGTGCCTGTAGTCCCAGCTACTAGGGAGGCTGAGGCTTGAACCCAGCAGGCAAAGACTGCAGTGAGCTGAGATCACGCCTCTGCACTCCAGCCTGGGTGACAGAGCAAACTCTGTCTCAAAAAAACCAAACAACTAAATGTAATGTGGCATCTGGATGGGATCACGGAGGAGGAAAAGGCAATGAAAGCAAAGGAAGTAGACTTTAGTTAATAATAATGTGTTCACATTGGTTTGTTCATTCATTGTAATAAATGTACTTGTGTAAGATCAGTTATGAAGTAAACTAAAACACTAAATATATAAAAATTAGACAGGCATGGTGGCGCACACCTGGAATCCCAGCTATTAAGGAGGCTGAGGCAGGAGAATCAATTGAAACTGGGTGGCGGAGGTTGCAGTGAGCTGAGATCACACCATTGCACTCCAGCCTGGGTGACAGAGTCTCAAAGTGCTGGGATTACAGGCGTGAGCCACCGCGCCCGGCCTGGACCTGGGGTGTATGAGAGCTCTCTGTACTATCATCTCAGTGGTTCTGTAAATCTAGAACAGTTGTAAGACATAAAAGTACCTGGAAACAACAAGAGTGGCCTGCGATCTGCCGTGATCACAGCGCCAGGCATTGTTGTGTTAGCTCCTTACATGCTTCCTGACCATCCCCTGCGGGAGGGACTACCACCAGCCCCATGTCACCACTAATTCCTGCGAGTTATTAGCCTGGGGCCCAGCAGTGTTTGCGCTCAGCAAACATGAGGAAATGTGGCTATCATAATTAGCAGCAGCTGGGACGGGAGAGCAAATGCCTTGGTAGCTAAGAGCCCGGTTCTGGTGAGGTTGCAGAGCAAAAGGAATGCGTATCTGCTGCTGGTGGGATTGTAAATTGTGGGAGGCGGTGTGGTGATTCCTCAAAGAGCTGAAAATGGAACTACCATGTGACCCAGCAATCGCAATAGTGAGTCTATATCCAAAGGAATAGAAATCGTTCTATCATAAAGACACGTGTGCATATGTTCAGTGCAGAACGATTCACAATAGCTAAGACGTGGAATCAACTTAAATGCCCATCAATGGTAGGCTGGATAAACAAGATATGGCACCTATACACCATGGAATACTATGCAGCCATAAAAAGGAATGAGATGATGTCCCTTGCAGGACCATGGATGGAGCTGGAGGCTATTATCCTTAGCAAACTAACACAGGAGCAGAAAGCAATACCTCACGTTCTCACTTGTAAATGGGGGCTAAATGATGAGAACACATGGACACACAGAAGGGAACAGCACACACTGGGGCCTATTGGAGGGTGAAGGTAAGAGGAGAAAGGGGCGGAAATAATAACTATTGGGTGCTAGGCTTAGTATCTGGGCGATGAAATAATCTGTACAACAATCCCTCTTGATGCGAGTTTACCTGTATAACGAACCTGCATAGGTAGTCCTGAACCTAAAATAAAAGTTTTTTTTTTAAAAACAAAGCCCCAAACCACTTTCTTAGCTGTGACTCAGATGCATTGTCTGTTCTGAGCCTCAGGTTTCCTGTTTGTAAACTGGGGGTGATAATGCTTTTCTTGCCCGCAGGGTGGACAGGAAGACACAAAGAGACAAGTCATGGGCACCAGATGTGGTCATGATTTAATGCTTGGCGATAATTCACTTCTGTTGTGATTAGGGAAATGCTGGGAAAGCTTGGTGGGGCGAGATGGGGGTCTCTCTGGGAGCACAGTGGAAAGAGGCACTCCACACAGCATTGAGGGTGGGGGACATGGGAAGATTTTTGGGGGAATGGGGTCCTGAGCAGAGGTGGGAGGAGGTGGGGAGGACAGGGCTGGTGCGATGGGGATCTGGGGCGAGCAGGACTGGAGGAGGAGGGAGAAAGCAGTCACATGAAGGTCCAGGACAGGGACTCCAGGCAGGCTGGGGGTGCTGGCGAGGGAAGGACCAGGAGCGGAGGGAGAGGAGCCAGGCAGGCGGAGGAGTGGATTGGATTTTTCCTGAGGGACAATATGGAAGTTTTAAACTTTTAATCTTGAGATCATTTCAGATTTGCAGAAGTTCCATATGGCTGCCTCCCAGATTCCTCAGATGTACACTTTTTACATTCGCTGTAGCTCCCTCTTTCTCTCTGTGCATGCGTGCAGACACACACACACACACACACACACACACACACACACACACACACACACACTCTTCCGTACCATTTGAGAGTTGTTGCAGAAGCGATGGATTCCCCTTTACCTCTAATGACTTCAGTATACATTTCCTAAAAACACAAATTACCCCCACAGTCAAACGATCAAACTCAGGAAACCAACGTTGGTATAAACACAACGATCTGATCTGCAGACATTACTGTAAGAATTACAGAAAGAGGAAAGGAACACAAAGGGCGCTGGACAGTCAACAGGGACAGGTTTATTCTGAATCCACCTGAGAGGGGCGGCTGGCTGAGTTAGGTCAGAGCGCCACTGTGTTACAGACTAAGAGTTTTTAAGGATTCAGGGTGGGAGTTTATCAGAGGCTTGGATTGCTCCTGTGCCTCTGCTGTGCTTATCTGGGAGGGAGAGTTGTGTGTCTGTTTCCATACAGCTTTCTGCAAGTTCCCTGAGTCTGCTTTACAGCTTCCCTATCTTAGTGCAGCTGAAGGGAAAGGAATGTGCTTTTTTTTTTTTTTTTTGAGATGGAGTCTCACTCTGTCGCTCAGGCTGGAGTGCAGTAGCGCGATCTCACTGCAACCTCCACCTACGAGGTACAAGCAGTTCTCCTGCCTCAGCCTCCCAAGTAGCTGGGATTTCAGGTGTGTACCAGCATGCTCAGCTAATTCTTTTGTATTTTTGTAGAGACAGGGTTTCACCATGTTGGCCAGGCTGGTCTCGATCTCCTGACCTCAAGTGATCCATCCTCCTTGGCCTCCCAAAGTGCAGGCATTACAGGCGTGAGTCACTCCGCCCCACCAGGAATGTGCTTATTAAGGTCCACTGTTTTCCTGGGGCCCGTTGTATGAGGGTGAAGTTTGGCAGTTCCCCGAGAGACTTTCCCCCCACCTCCCTCGTGCCGGAGCTGTCTTATCTGTCTTTTCTTGTCTGCCCTTTCTGGGTGCTTGTAGTTAGAAGAGAAGTGATTTCCTTGAGCAGCAGGCTAGACAGAGAGCTGGAATTTGAAGCGAGGTGTTTGTCCCACATGGCAGTGCTCCTGCTCTATCAGTTATTCAACCTCCCCGCCTGTCCTCACCGTGCCTTTCATGGCAAAGGAGTACAGCGGTTTTGCGAGTGTGCAGGATCCAAGGCAGCATCAGAGTCTCGCTGGTGTGCCTCTCGGCCTCCTCTGATCTGGGACCGCCCTTCTATCTTCTTGTGTCTTTCATACCCTTGACATTTTTGAGTACAGCCTGATGACTTTGCAGGATGTCCCTCAGTTTGGGTTTGTCTGGTGTTTTCTCCTGATTGCATTGGATTTAGTGTATTAGTTCAGCTGCTGTAACAAAATGCAGACTGAGGGGCTTACGTAACAGACTTTGATTTCCTCACGGTTCTGGAGACTGGATGTTCTAGGTAAGAATGGCAGCAGGTCTGGTTGCTCCGGAGGCCTCTCCTTGGCCTGCAGATGACCGTCTTCTCACTGGGTCCTCACATGGTCTTTCCTCTGTGCTGGCGCATCCTTGGTGCCTCTTTGAATGTTCAGATTTCCTCTTCCTTTGCTGGGCGCAGTGACTCATGCCTGTAATCCCAACACTTTGGGAGGCCGAGGCGGGTGGATCACTTGAGGTCAGGAGTTCGAGACCAGCCTGGGCAACATGGTGAAACCCGGTCTCTACTAAAAATACAAAAATTAGCTGGGCGTGGTGGCACACACCTCTCATCCCAGCTACTTGGGAGGAACGCTGGAACCTGGGAGGCGGAGGTTGCAGTGAGCAGAGACAGTACGATTGCACTCCAGCCGAGAGAGAGGGTGAGGCTCTATCTTAAAAACGAAAGCAAATTTCCTCTCCTTGTAAGGACACCACTCAGATGGGATTAGGGCCGCCTTAAGGGCCTCAATCTTTTTTTTTTTTTTGAGACGGAGTTTCACTCATGTTATCCAGTGCAATGGCGCGATCTCGGCTCACCGCAACCTCCGCCTCCTGGGTTCAGGCAATTCTCCTGCC